CAAGTACAAGTACAAAGCGCACAAAGCATATTTTTCAGTACTTCATTTTTTTGAGAAGATAAAAACCATTTCAAACCACACCTGCAATCGCCGCCCTGACCTCGACCATATCCCCGGGATTCACAACGCTATCAAAGAACTGCAACTTCGTCTCGGGGCGGAAGATGAGCACATGCGTCGACCCCCCAAAATGGAACATCCCGAGCTCATCTCCGCGTGTGATTCTGTTCCCCACCTTCACCGTCGCCTCGCACGTCGACACCTCCGTCATCCCGACCGCAATGAAGCACATCAGCCCGATGAGCGGATTTTCCGACTCAATAAAAATGAGCATGCGCGCCGTGAGAGCCGTGATGAACGAGAGCGAGCGCAGGTAAGGGTTATCGTTCTCGCCGATAGTGGCGGGCGACTGGCAGAAGTACGTCCCTGGAAGCGGCACGATGCGGCGCACCGTGCCCGTCACGGGGGCGTGCCAATGGTGATAGCCCGTCACCGAGAGGAAGCCCTGGAAGACTGTCCCGCCCATGAACTGCGGCGCGTAGTCGTCATGGTTAAGCATGTCGAGCAACGAGTACGGCTCGCCCTTGAGCCAGAATGTGTTGCGCTCCTGGACTCCGGTCGCGAGGTTATACATCTGCGACTCGCACGCGGCGTTGATAATGTTAGGGTTATCCGGCAGCTGGAGGGTGCGAATTCCCGGCTGGAAGGTACGAACGAAAAAGTCGTCCCACGACGTGTAACCCCAGTACTGCGCAGAGGGGTCAGATACGAAGATCTGCTCGAATTTAAGGCCGTTGAAGTTCTCCGTCAGGGCTGTGAGAGCGGGCGAACTGAACCAGCCGCCCGGATCGGCCGTGAGGACGTAGCAGGATGCAAAGGAATCAAGAAACTCGGCCCAAACATCGAACATGCGTTTGAACTGGGCATTCAGTTCGGTGTTGAGAAATGTGGTGAAGCCGCCCTGGGTGTTCATCGCCCCGCTGAGGATCATATACATTGGGGGTCCGATTGGGCCGTAGAACGGTGCTTCCTGGATGATTTTATTGAAGACTTTCAGCATCGTTTGGTAGTCGGGGATCTTGCAAGCGCGGCATAAGTTGAGGAGCGGATTCGAGATAGAGCAGCATACCTCGGTCAACACCGAAGAGGGAGGTTGCTGTTCGAACATCTGATTGAACCCCATGTACAGCTCGCTGTTGGTCTCGATGAGCATCTGGAACTGCCGGATGACGGGGAGGAGGGGTTCATCTTTTCTTTTACCCACGAGGACCTCGTCGACGACGTCCTTGATCCATTTTTGGAGGTCTGCGTCACTAGCCGGGAGCCAGCCAGCACGACGAAAGCGCTCGGTAAGTTTAGGAGATGCCTTGGACATGAAAACAAGAAAGCAAAGAGGGAGGAGGGTATTCCTGGCCGAAAAATAAAGCCAGGGGAGCAACCGCCCTTTATACAATTCCTGAGAGAGATGGCCGTGAATCGGAGCCAATTTGAAGAACTCCAGATGACCACACCCCTGGAGCCTGAGCGGCACATGAAGATACTCTAGCGCATTTAACGCGGTTCGCCTCCACTCGTATCTGAGAGTATAGATCAAATGACCACAGTCGAACAGCTAATTTGAGAAGCAGAACACAACCAGTCAGGTCGAGGCCCCTTTTGTCCTACTCCACTGGGTGCAGCGGCGTTTTGACGCGTGAAGTTGCGGGCGTTGAGAGCTCTCCGTATTTAGTTTCAACTCTTCTCCCAGAACAACGACTTGTCAAGTGCCCAGCTCTGGGGCTTACTCAAAATTTCGATGCAGAATCGGTGTTTGAACTCTTGGAATCTTTCAATTCCAGCCCTAAGGTGCAAAGCCAGCGATGTTCCGCGCAAAAGTTCGAGTCCCAAGATGGGATTGATTGGGCCGGGAAGTTTCCCGTGAGAGTGAGACGGCATCGTGGAGTGAAGGTTCACCAGGTTCTTTGAACCTCCTAAATCCACAAGCAAAGCCGCAGAGAGTCCGAACCAGAACCCTCCGCCTCAGTCCTCTCAGTGACATATGACTTGGAGCGCGCTTAATTCCGACCGCTTAATGCACTATTGACGGGACACTTGCGTTATTACCCACCAAGTTCCGAGCTGCATATTGGTGAGGCGCTTGTTGAGCCTAGGCATCCTGGTCCCGCCGTTTTGAACTTATTAATCGATCCAGGCCTGAAAGTTTCGCGTTCCTGTTGAATTTGTATGAAATCATGGGGCAGAAACAGATCGCGAGGAATTGGAAAGCTGCCTGCGAGCTCACGGCAGCGAGCTAGGTGTGGAAGGCAAGCGTAACGGAGATTAGATAATAGATGCCGGCGGTGAATCTAATCTACACCGCCACCAACTAGTTCGCACGAGTCCAGGACAGAGTCGAGCTCACAGCTGCTCACAGTCGCCCTCAAAGTCTCTTTTGCCTTTCCGTACGCGTATTTTCCCGCCCTTTTCTTCTCGCTTATGCTCGGCTCGCCCTGAGTTTCGTTTAAACTTAAAATCCCTCCCCGGACGCTGTTCGTGGCCTTTGCCCGGGTGTCCTTGTCGATTCGTCTAGTTTGTTCCAACGGAGCGTGGCTAAAACGGACGTTGTAGGTGCAAGAAGAAGCTTCATTCATGCACAACTCCGGTGATTTACTTGCGTCCGAGACTTTTTTGCACTTGATCATTTCAGCTTAGTGGCCATGGTGGCTTTTTTATCGGGAAGATTATCCAACTTCTTGCGCGATTTGGATTTACCTTCGCAATCGATCCACGTCAGTAGAGCATGTCTCTGGCCTCTGACGCGACAGGTGACATGAAACAGAATAAAAGAACAGAATTAGTCCAGAGTATGTGAAGTGTCAACTTTTTCTATGTGCGCGATTTCACCTCAAACCACGCACGCAATTGCCGCCCTGACCTCTACCATGTCCCCCGGATTATCCACGCCATCAAAGAACTGCAACTTCGTCTCGGGGCGGAAGATGAGCACATGCGTCGACCCCCCAAAGTGAAACATCCCAAGCTCATCTCCGCGCGTGATGTGGTCGCCCACCTTCACCGTCGTCTCACACGTGGAAACCTCCGCCATCCCAACAGCAATGAAGCACATCAGCCCGATGCGTTGGTTGTCCGACTCGATAAACACGAGTGTGCGCGCCGCGAGCGCCGCGAGGAACGAGAGCGAGCGCAGGTAAGGGTAGCCCGTCTCGCCAATCGTGGCGGGCGACTGGCAGAAGTACGTACCCCTAAGCGGCACGATGCGGCGCACGACGCCCGTCACCGGCGAGTGCCAGCGGTGGTATCCCGTCACGGGAAGGAAGCCCTGAAAGACTGTCCCGCCCACAAACTGCGCCGCGTAGTCGTCACGGTTGAGCATGTCGAGCAGCGAGAACGGCTCACCCTTGAGCCAGAATGTGTCGCGCTCCTGTACATCAGTCGCGATTTTGTACATTACCGATTCGCACGCGGCGTTGATAATGTTAAGATTTTCGCCTGGAGGGTGCGGATTCCCGGCTGAAAGGTGCGGACGAAGAAGTCGTCCCACGACTTGTAGCCCCAGTACTGCGCAGAAGGGTTACACTTGAAGATCTGTTCAAATTGGAGACCGTTGAACTTCTCCGTCAGGGCTGTGAGAGCGGGGGAACTGAACCAGCCGCCCGGATCGGCCGTTAGGACGTAGCGGGATGCAGGGGAACCAAGAAACTCGGCCCAGACGTCGAACATGCGTTTGAACTGGGCATTCAAAGGAAGGTGCTGAAGCCGGCCTGCGTGTTCATCGCCCCGCTGAGGGTCATGTACACTGGGGGTACGATTGGCCCATAGAACGGCGCTTCCTGGATGATTTTATTGAAGATTTTTAGCATCGTTTGGTAGTTGGGGACCTTGCAAGCATGGCGTAAGTAAAGGAGCAGATTCAAGATCGAGCAGCATACCAGGGCCAACACGGAAGAGGGATGCTGCTGTTCAAACATCTGATTGAACCCAATGTGCATTTCGGTGTTGGTCTCGATGAGCATCTCGAACTCCCGGATGACGGGGAGGAGGGGTTCATTTTTTCTTTTACCCACGAGTACGTCGTCGACAATGTCCTTGAGCCATTGTTGGAGGTGCGCGTCGCTGCCCGCGTGCCAGCCAGTACGACCAAAGTGATGCGTGAGTTGTGGGTGTGCTTCCGACATGACCGAAAGAGAGCAGATATAGGTTACAAAGAGAAGAGATTGGTTTGATCGACGGCGAAGAACAGCCGCATTTTATACAATTTCTGAGACAGAAAATGACCATGCTCCGAGTGGTCTATTGGACAAACAGAGCGCAGACATTCAGGTCGAGGCCGAGGCGCCTTCTGGATGCAGGCCCGACGATTGACGGGTGCGTTGTCTCTGACAATGGCCGCTCGGATGCCCAACTTCGGAGTTAATTCTGCGAATCTACATGTACACGTCAACACTGGACTGGGATTTATGCTTGAAGTCTTGAACCCTGTCTAATGGCGGGAAGGCAAAAAGCCAGGGATGTTCAGTGGAACGTTCAGGTCCAAAGGCGCAATTGATTGGTCCGGGAAGTTTCCGATGAGAATGACTCAGCAACAAGTCGAGGACGTTCTCGTTCCCCGAAGCTTTCGGCACACCAGAGAAAAAACACAGCACGGTATAGAAGCCGTTTAGCTTAATTTCCACCCGCCTGACGCGCCACTGGCCATGAAATCAAGTTCTAGCCTGCCGAGTTCCGAGATAAATCACAGGACCCCTCGAATGTTTGGGAGGCGCTTGCTGCCCATGCATGCCGTGGTCAGCTTGAAGTCCCGCCATTTGGGTTTCTGAAACGCATTGAGCCCCTGTGGCATTCGTCGGGGCAGAAATCAATCGTGATAAAACAGCATCGGGATTGAAAGGCGGTTGCATCGGCGACACATTTGTCGCTTATGTTCCGGAAATCTGGCGTTCATCTCGATTCGCCTGGCCAGCACGTATTCCTCTGGGTCCTGAGCCCGACACCCAGGCAACGCTCACGTAGCTCAGTGGTTAGAGCACCGTTCTTATGAGGTTGCCTATTTGCGGAATACTTCCCGAGAAACAAATTCCATGCGGGGGTCCTGAGTTCAATCCTCAGCGTGAGTATTTTTTACGGTGGCGTGCTGCTGCTGGGATGACTCGCTTTGGAGATGACTCGGATGATTTGATTTCGACACGATTGAGTTTCCATATTGGGAAATTGAATTTCCTTTTTCGGTCTGTCCTCACACTGCCGCAGTTATAGCCTGTGAAGAAACCTGAGTGGATGCTGAAGGATCCACGGCGGAGGGTTCCAGGTACACAGAGATCCAAGCCCAAGTTGGAGTCCCAGCAGCTCACGTGTCGTCTTCGGGGCGCTGGAATTCCGAGGCCGTTCAGGATCGATACGAGACTCAGAGAGAAGAACATTGACGTCCTTGATTTTTGTTTCTGAAAAGTGGGTATTCAGATAAAGCAACGGAGCCGTCCCCGCCATGCACGATGATTTCAACGACAGAGAAGATCAAGCAAAGAGGATCGTTACCGAACGGAATGGACCATGAAGGCATCACGTAAGGTCTGCCAAGGGTTAGATGGTAGACAGGCCGATTCTGGCAGAGTTCCCCGGTCGTTGCTCAAAGCCGTGCAGCGAGTATGGCGGATTCATTATCACTGCAAAATAGTTCGGGCTCGGGCTCCAGATCCCAGTTCCAACTTGAGGTGCTTTGCTTGAGTTCAGGTGTCCGAGTCGCGGTCTTCATGACGACTTCACACCGTTGTGGCATAGGTACAACTTGTAGTACAAGTACTAGACGCTTTAGCGTCTTGAGTAGGTACTAGTTCTGGGTCTTTTATACCGCCAGCTTCGGGAATTGAAATCAAGCATATTTTGCCTAATTTGTGAGTAATCGCCTGGCACTGGCCTCAAGTCGCGATTCCGAAGCGAGCGACAATGATCGTGAATTGATCGTGAAGAAAAGGGACAAGTCGTGTTGTTTGTCCGTACTTGGCAACATCCTCGATTTTCTCTGTCTTGCCGTGTTCAACGGTAAAATGACGACCGAAACCACAAAATTAAAGGCGAAACTAGACTCCCTGACCTCGTCCCTTTCTACCCTAGAATCAACGTTGTCTCCCCTCTTCGCACAAACTTTGCCAGAAACCACCGTCGCGCTCACGCCCATCGAGCAAGCGAAGTTACAGACGCTTCTCCCCTACCTCGTATATGATCTCGTTTTCAGTGCGTATCTGCTGCGACTGCATCGATGGGAATAGCCTAAAGTGCAACAAACGCAGTCTACCTAAAATCCAAAGGCATCGACCCGAAAACACATCCAGTCGTTGGGGAACTGGTGCACTCTTTCCCGCCATCTTTGGCTAGATTCTCAACTGAAAACACCCTTTTAGGCCCGCGTGAAACGCTACTTTGACAAAATCTCATCTGCGGAGAATCCCGATGCACGTTCGTGTGCAGCTACCTCGCGCGTTTATACGTCTGATTTCATTAACCCTCGTAGAGCGGGCACCGCTCGACAAGGCTGCGGCAACACGCTTCATCAAGCACGCCATAACGCAGTCCAAGCTCGGCGAGTCGTCGTCGGCTGACGCTCCTCAGGCGCCTGAAC